TCAACAAGATTTTGGGTCTCATTGACGTCGGACGCAAAGAGGGCGCAAACCTCTTGACCGGCGGTCAGCGATGGGGAACTCAGGGCTACTTCATTCAGCCCACAGTGTAAGCCGTGTTATTATTGACTCACAAATTTGCAACAAGTATTAATTTGCATACAATTTGTGAGCAGTTTTAGTGACGTGAAGGACGACATGACTATAGCCAAGGAGGAGATCTTCGGACCCGTGCAGTCCATCTTTAAGTTCAAGACGTTTGATGAGGTGATCGATCGCTGCAATAACACCAGCTATGGATTGGCTGCCGGCGTGTTCACCAAAGACATCAATAAGGCGTTGAGATTCTCGCAGCAGGTCCAGGCCGGGTCTATTTGGATCAACACCTTCCTGGCACTGGGACCTCAGGTGCCCTTTGGAGGCTTCAAACAGTCCGGTTTTGGCCGCGAGAATGGTGAGGACGGCCTACACGAGTATCTGGAGATCAAATCGGTATATGTTTTATTAGTTGTTATTTTTTACGTGAGTTTTTTGTAACATTTTTTTGCCGATTTTTATCCATAGGTTGCCATTTATAACGACCAAAAGAACTCTTAAATGGATTTTTGGTTTCAATTGGTTTCACTTAAGCGAAGCTCTGAAACAAATATCTTTTTAATGCCAATTCCGATGTCGAGGAATATAGCAATTATTTTCGAGTTTATTCTTAGTTTGTCTATTAATTTGATACGAAAATTTACTAATGATTTTATGTTCAATTATTGTATCATTCGAGATAATAAAAATAAAAATTAGACAAAACAAATGCATACAATAATAATAAAATTGATTTTATAATTATGACTCTAATAATTGGCGTCTAATTACAATACAATTAATCATTATAGATTTTTTGTATAATTGTTATTAAACACTCTAAATACTAAAATTATTATATTCTGTAATCAGATATATTTTGTAGGCAAATAAGATGATTGCATATTAAGGAATTCTGTATTGCAACTATACTTGTATTAAGTGAATATCAAATAACATTATTTAATGACTTTATGCATGTGTATTAATATAATTATTAATTACGTAGATTTGTGCAGCAATTTAATGAAGTGAATTTTTTATATTTTTAGAAAAGTTATCTAATAATTATAATTAATCGATGGTGCTAACTTATACAGTATAAATTATAGAGAATGATAACAGGGTGCAATTTGATTCATAAACCAATATGCTTAATATAAATAAAAGTAAAACATATTCTTATTTCATTTATACGATAATGTAATGTAGAAAATGTATGTTTTTACTATAAATATGTGGGAATAATAGGTTTATATGTGTTGATAAATTGGTTAGCCCAACCTTTTTAATTATCCTTGAATTCTACACCATAATCGACATCCAGTCTCATTCATCCCTATTGGACGAGCGATCAGAGATATTAATTATCAAATAAATCTTGACTGTCGTACTCATAGAGTATGACAATTATTGTATATAAATAGTCTCAAAAACGTATATAATTTTCATATTCACTTCAAACCGAGTGATCACTTGTCCTGGTTAATTAGTTTTTTCCTCAAGTTGGCTTTGAAATTGTTAATTGTACAATGGGTGTTAATCGCAATCCGCAAATTAAATATACTCAGGTATGTTTTACTACTTAATTTATTAACCTTCGCACATAAATATTAATTTAAATTATTTATAAATCCAACAAATTTTGTTAATGTGATAAATTATTGCATGAATTACATTAAAATTAAATTAAAAAATAAAATTTTTATAAAAAAAACATATTTATCTTAATATCATATTAGTAATATGCTTAACAATATTGAAAAAATATTGAAAAATTTAACTTGCAAAGATCAACATGTAATGTAAAATCATCATTATATTAAAAATATAATGGGATTTGTTCACAAAATTTAATCTCATTGCGAAATAAAATTGTGAAAAAATTTATTAAAAGCTGTTTATTATATTATTAAACACTTGTTTGACAAGAAATAAAATTTGATAAAATTTTATGATTTATTATTATGTCAATTGATATTTCTCTCTAAATTTACTGAACATTATTTTTCAATATCTGTGTTATGCACTAAAACTGAACTTATTATCTAGGATCATTTTTTATCTCTTATCATATAAAAGTTGATTATAAAAACAATTTTAAAAAATATGTTTTGTACCCTGTTATCAAAAGTTTTAAAAATTAGATTAAATTAGTAAATTAATTGCTTTATCTTAATATTACGACTACTTGTGAACATTATTTATAATACATATCAGGTATTCATAAACAACTCATGGGTGGACTCCGTGAGTGGGAAGACATTTGAGACGATAAACCCGGCGACCGGACAAGTGATCGCAAAAGTACAGGAGGGGGACAAACAGGACATCGATAGGGCTGTCCAAGCGGCCAGAGATGCATTCAAAAGGGTTGGACTCCATTTCCATCTTGAATTAAATGAACACAAACTGTAAATTAAGAATTAATTTTAAAAATACTTCAATTTTCAATCAATAATAGGGTTCAGTTTGGCGTACAATAGATGCCTCAGAAAGGGGTCGACTTTTGCATAAATTGGCGGATCTTATAGAAAGAGATTCCGAATACTTGGCATCATTGGAGACATTAGACAATGGAAAGCCTTATTTGAATTCAGTGGGAGATATTCAGGGGGCTGTCGGACAGATACGTTATTATGGGGGCTATGCGGACAAAATTCACGGAAAGACTATTCCGGCCGATGGACCACACTTTGCATTCACTAGAGTTGAACCAATTGGAGTTTGCGGGGCTATTATAGCGGTTTGTATTTATTAACCTGTTCATTTTGAACAATTAAAATAATAATAATTATCGGAAAATAGTGGAATTTCCCGATATTTCTAATCGCTGGCAAATTAGGGCCCGCATTAGCCACTGGTAATACACTTGTCATCAAACCCGCTGAACAGGTATAGCTAATCAACAGATGATAATTTATACTAAAATTAAAATATATTAAATATGATATTTTATTTATTATAATTAAGACACCATTGACTGCCCTCTATATCGCTAGCCTTATAAAAGAGGCCGGTTTTCCTCCTGGTGTTGTCAACGTTGTGCCCGGTTATGGACATACAGCCGGTGCNCCATTTCCATCTTGAATTAAATGAACACAAACTGTAAATTAAGAATTAATTTTAAAAATACTTCAATTTTCAATCAATAATAGGGTTCAGTTTGGCGTACAATTGATGCCTCAGAAAGGGGTCGACTTTTGCATAAATTGGCGGATCTTATAGAAAGAGATTCCGAATACTTGGCATCATTGGAGACATTAGACAATGGAAAGCCTTATTTGAATTCAGTGGGAGATATTCAGGGGGCTGTCGGACAGATACGTTATTATGGGGGCTATGCGGACAAAATTCACGGAAAGACTATTCCGGCCGATGGACCACACTTTGCATTCACTAGAGTTGAACCAATTGGAGTTTGCGGGGCTATTATAGCGGTTTGTATTTATTAACCTGTTCATTTTGAACAATTAAAATAATAATAATTATCGGAAAATAGTGGAATTTCCCGATATTTCTAATCGCTGGCAAATTAGGGCCCGCATTAGCCACTGGTAATACACTTGTCATCAAACCCGCTGAACAGGTATAGCTAATCAACAGATGATAATTTATACTAAAATTAAAATATATTAAATATGATATTTTATTTATTATAATTAAGACACCATTGACTGCCCTCTATATCGCTAGCCTTATAAAAGAGGCCGGTTTTCCTCCTGGTGTTGTCAACGTTGTGCCCGGTTATGGACATACAGCCGGTGCCGCTTTGACTGAACACCCGGATGTCGATAAGATTGCATTCACCGGATCCACAGAAGTGGGAAAACTGATCCAAATCGCGGCCGGGAAGTCAAACATGAAGAGAGTAACCCTCGAAACGGGTGGTAAATCACCGCTCATTATCTTCGACGACGCGGACATCGATGACGCCGTCGCCACTGCTGTCTGTATTTTGAAGACAATTAATGAATGTTTTTATTAACATTTATTTATTTGTTATATTCATAGCACGAGACAGTATTCCTGAATCAGGGACAGACATGTTGTGCGGCAACCCGTCTCTACGTTCAGGACACCATTTACGACAAGTTTGTCGAAAAGGCTGTAGAATTGGCTCAGAAGCGAGTGGTCGGTGACCCCTATGAGGCTAACACACAACACGGCCCTCAGATAGACGGCACACAGTTTGACAAAGTGTTACAACTTATAGACACCGGTCGTAAGGAAGGCGCAAAACTATTGACTGGTGGCCAGAGATGGGGAACCAAAGGCTACTTCGTTCAGCCGACGGTGTCAGTCATATATATATATACTATAATTAGTGACAATTATGTCTATATTTTATTAACTTTCAAATCAGTTTCGGTGACGTGACGGACAACATGACTATAGCCCGGGAGGAGATCTTCGGACCCGTGCAGTCCATCTTCAAGTTCAACACATTGGAGGAAGTGATTGAAAGGGCTAATGACACGACCTATGGGTTAGCTGCCGGTGCCTTCACTAAAGACGTGAACAAAGCACTGGTATTGAGTCAGGCATTGGAGGCCGGGAATGTCTGGATCAACACTTTCCTGGCTGTGAAACCTCAGACACCGTTTGGGGGATACAAACAGTCGGGCTTTGGGCGAGAGTTTGGTGAAGACGGTCTCCACGAGTATCTCGAAGTGAAATCGGTATTCATTTTCATTCATTTATCTATTGGTTGTTTAAAAATAAAAATTTTTACATTTGTTTCTTTAGGTTGTTTTCAAAGTGGATCAGAAGAACTCATAAAATGTTTTTTGAAATAACAATTTTGTTTGACATTTGATTGAATAAATGAATGATTTTAAGTTTGACACAAAGTCCATGATTTTATTATCAAATAACAGTAAATACTACTTGTATTGCAGTGGTACTATGTTAGGCCATTAATTATAGCAATGTATTTATAATTTAAATTCAATACAAACATACAATTTTATTTTCTTGAGAAATAACTTTCTGAAAGTATTGGCAGTCTATTCAATATCAAAATCTAACTGAACTTCTATTACTGATTCAATGACCAAAACAAGTTGTAAAAGTTTAGCAAGTTCATTTTCAGAAAATTATGTCAATTTTAACGACGTGAATACTTTATAGTCAATTTGTTAGTAAATAAGTTACCCGGTTAAGTAAATAATCTACACTTATTCTATAATCAGTGTAAATTATCAAATTTTTTGCTATTGATAGAAAGTACTAAATGAAATAAGAGCATTTATAATCATATGCCCTTAACTGTGTACAGTATATTGGTGAATAATATTTGGTGCAAAATGATTAAAACCTATTTAATTGGGTGCAAAATCATAGGTTTAATTATATCAAATAAATCTTTGCAATGGTGTTTTGTATAAATTATATAAACTGTCACCAAATAATTTTTATTTTCACATTACTTCTAACGAGTGACCAAGTTACACTAGTTTTGCTTATAATATAAGCCTTATATATAGTACTGTATAACGTTCATACTTTTCATCTAAATATCCAATTGTAAAATGAGTGTTAATCGCAATCCACAGATTAAATATACTCAGGTATGTTTTGTTATATTTATATAGTTACCTACTTCTCATTTTAAATATTCTCAATATACTGTTTATTAATATATGAACAAATAATTTGAACATTTTAAAAATGATATATTGTATTATTAATCCATAACCTAAATTATTTTTATAAATCCAATAAATAATTTTTAATTATGTAAGTAATAATACAATAAAATGCAGAGCTGATAAATATTAAATTATAACATACTGTAGTCAATGTTATTATCAATTGACATTAGTTTGACGAAATTAGTATTTATTGTATAATAATTATCAATTGATAAAGATGTTGATATGTAGCAAGTTCAATAGTATTTTATGTTTTAGGGTTTGCTATATTCATTTTCTGATTGTATTTATCATAGAATTTTATATTTTTATCTTTAATATTTAAACTTTGATTAGAAAAGTATGCAACACAAAAAAATTAATCTATAGATCATTTGAAATTCAATTTGTGGATTCAAAGTAATCCTTATCATTAGATAAACAAGAATATATTTGGACTTTAAGATATTTTTAGTATAATTTAAAATATACATTAAATTATAGGTATTCATAGACAATGAATGGGTGGACTCCGTGAGTGGGAAGACATTTGAGACGATAAACCCGGCGACCGGACAAGTGATCGCAAAAGTACAGGAGGGGGACAAACAGGACATCGATAGGGCTGTCAAAGCGGCCAGAAATGCATTCAAAAGGGTTGGACACCATTTCCATGTGATATTCATTAATCATGTCTGAAGTTGTTAAATAGGGATCAGTTTGGCGTACAATTGATGCCTCAGAAAGGGGTCGACTTTTGCATAAATTAGCGGATCTTATAGAAAGAGATTCCGAATATTTGGCATCACTCGAGACATTAGACAATGGAAAGCCTTATTTGAATTCATTGGGAGAAGTAGAGGGGGCCGTAAGGATGTTACGCTATAATGCGGGATATGCTGACAAAATTCACGGGAAGGTCATACCGGCCGATGGGCCGCACTTTGCATTCACTAGAGCTGAACCAATCGGGGTTTGCGGAGCTATTATAGCGGTTTGTATTTGTTATTCAAGAAATACATATTAATATTAAACCAATGAATCCTCTATTAGTGGAATGCCCCGATCACTTTAACCGCTTGTAAATTAGGACCTGCTTTAGCCACCGGTAATACTTTGGTTATTAAACCGGCTGAACTGGTATAACCAATGAACTCAATCAATAATTTATGAAAGTTTATATTATAATTGTTTTATTTCAAAGACACCGTTGACTGCCCTCTATATCGCAAGCCTTATAAAAGAGGCCGGTTTTCCTCCCGGTGTGGTTAACGTTGTGCCCGGTTATGGACATACAGCCGGTGCCGCATTGACTGAGCACCTGGATGTCAATAAGATTGCATTCACCGGATCCACAGAAGTGGGAAAACTGATCCAAATCGCCGCCGGGAAGTCAAACATGAAACGCGTGACTCTGGAAACGGGCGGCAAATCACCGCTCATTATCTTCGACGACGCGGACATCGATGAAGCCGTTGTCACTGCTGTCTGTATTTTACTCACAATTTAAATATATTTTTATTAAATGTTGTTAATGTTATGAATCTCATAGCATGCGACAGTTTTTGCAAATTCAGGTCAGATTTGTTGTGCGCCCACAAGACTCTACGTTCAGGACACCATTTACGACACGTTTGTCGAAAAGGCCGTAGAATTGGCTCAGAAGCGAGTGGTCGGTGACCCCTATGAGGCCCACACCCAACAGGGCCCTCAGATAGACGGCACACAGTTTGACAAAGTGCTACAATATATAGACACCGGTCGTAAAGAAGGCGCAAAGCTATTGACTGGTGGCCAGAGATGGGGAACCAACGGCTTCTTTATTAAGCCGACGGTGTCAGTCATTTAGTCATTTAATTTATATAATATACTGTCATTCAAAATGTCTATTGAATTGATAACTTAAACATAACTTTCAAATCAGTTTCGGTGACGTGACGGACAACATGACTATAGCCCGGGAGGAGATCTTCGGACCCGTGCAGTCCATCTTCAAGTTTAAGACATTGGAGGAAGTGATTGAAAGGGCTAATGACACGACCTATGGGTTAGCTGCCGGTGCCTTCACTAAAGACGTGAACAAAGCACTTGTGTTGAGTCAGGCATTAGAGGCCGGGTCTGTTTGGATCAACACTTACATGGCTTTCGGCCCTCAGATACCGTTTGGTGGATACAAACAGTCGGGTTTTGGCCGAGAGTTGGGTGAAGAGGCTCTACACGAGTACATCGAAATCAAATCGGTATTCATTTGACTTATGTTTTCATTATTTATCTATAAATGTGTTTATAATTAATTTTGTTTGCATAGGTTGTCATCAAAACGGATCAGAAGATTTCCTAAAAAAATAATGTTTTTAAAAAACAAAATTGTTTTTCACATTTGATTGATAAATAAATTAAAATAACTTTTTTTATTTTTAAAATGTTGTTATATTTAATTAAATATTTTTTGACAAATATTAAAATTATTGATAGTTAATATTATACAAATATAAATATAAATCAAACGCATAGTAACCATTATATTGATCGTTAAATACTATTATTATATATTATTATTATAAGATAAATTTCTGCATTAAAAAATATACTTTGCACACTAGACTACTTTAGTTCATATGTTCTTATAAACATTTTAAAATTACTACATTTACCCGATTATATTTTACGCTATGTTATATAACAGTAAAAATAACCCAAACAGGTGATAAATAATAATGAGATAATAAAATAAAATTATTTTTAAATATTGATAATTAACGGGAGACTAAACAGAATTACAGACAAAGCAAAAAATGTATAATATATTATGTAATATTTTATCTTATCTCTTACCATTTTATATTATCTCTATCGTATTAGTAATACGGTATTACATTTAAAAACTTTGTATTTTGGGTACATAATAGCTACATGATTATTTTATTCGAGACCACTGTTACTAACGTTAAATGGTGTTCGGGTCATTGAATTAAGTAATAAAAATGTTAAAATTAATATAAAATGACTTTTTTTTTGATAAAATATTGTTTTACTATCAAAGGAATTAAGCACTTAAACAATATACTGTATAAAGTTTTAACATAGTAACAGTTTTACCATTTGTCAAAAAATTGTTAATCAATGCCCTGCATAATAAATTAATAATAATAATCTTCCCAGACACTTTGAGACAAAATAACAATAATCTTGAAAAATTACTTTAAATATTTCATGTCGAAAATATGGCATGATATTCCTTATGTATAATTAGTCTGGATTTTATTTACACTTATATTCTTAAACATTTATTATCTTCATTGATGAAATTATCAGTAAAAAACAATTGGAAACTAGTAAATGTCTAATAAACAACCAAAAAACTATAATCCAAAGTATGGGAAAAGTTTTCATATAAATAGGAGTGAGTTTCACTTCGAAAAGTATCACAAAATAAAACTTCAGTTTTGAATTTGTTTTGAGATTATTATTAAAAGTCTTTCAAAAAGTCTTTCTATACTTACTTTAATTACTTTAAAAGTAATACAAAACTTCATTCAATTACAATGAATCGCAGTAACGAAGTCAAATTCACCCAG